GGAGACTTTGGGGTTGGATCCAGGAGAGGGCGGGGCTTGGGGAGGGGAGGGGCCTCAGCATGGTACAGTGCCGTAGAGTCCACCCTTCAGAGCAGCCATTTTCTCCAGGGGATCTCTGTCAGCTGGAGATCAGTTGTCAAAGTGGGAGATCCCCAGGCCCCACCTGGAGGCTGGCAACCCTATTACCCCCCCTTCTGCACTAAAATCAAGTTCAACCTTCTTTTTATTCTGGGTTGTCCCCCCATTCTGCATTGCATTCCCTCCCTTTGGCGGTCAGCCCGGTTTCAGCCTGCTGTTGCCCTGGGTTATTTGGACGCTGTGGCCCATTCTGCATCTAGCATTCGCTCCGTTGTTTTACCAAACCCACACACTGGAACAGAAAAAGATGCGGCTCAAAACCACATTCAAACACACCGGGCCACCGCCGTACTGACTGCAGAGTCACCCCTGAACGGTCATAAAACGGCCATAAATCTATGCAGACGGTACCAAAAAAACCGAGAGGTCAAGGGAAGTGAAACCGGAATGCGTGCAGAGGCTACCCTAAAATCCGACAATCAAGGAAAGTGAAACTGGCATGCAATGTTGTAAGACAGAAACTCCGTCAAGGGTTGTGCTCCCCCAGCCCAATTTGAGAAAGCACACGGCAGTCTTGTAGAGGAGAATCAGATCTTGTACTTTATTGATCAACAAAGGAGGGAGGTGCAGACCCAATAAGGTTTTGGACCCCACAGCTCTCCCTAGGGTTACAATGGGAGGCATAGGGTTTTATACCCCCTATGACAGTTAGAAATAAATCACAATTATTGGTTCCATCACAGTTAGTCACATATCCGTCACACCATTCTGATTGGGTTCGAACCTGTAGGCTGGATTTTCTCAGGCAAAACTGTATCTCCTCCAGCTAAACAATAGACTTTCTTCTTCCTAGGCTGTGAAATTCTAAAAAGTATCTAATTGTAACAAATATCAGTACATCATGCAGTGTTCTCCATCTAACGCAAGCAAACTGGCATCAAGAGCATGCGCAGTTACGATTGGCAAGAACAAGCAAGGTCACTGTGGTGTGGTTGCCTGTCAGCATTTGGTATTTTACCCAGAATGCCTTTAAGCAATGAACCAAAGTGAATATCTGAATAGATGTTCATGATTGATTTCAGTCACTGTGATTAGAATCATCAAAGGCACTTAACATATGCACCATGGAAGCGTTAAGAGCACCCACTAAGGTAAACTGACTGTTAGCTAGTGGCAGAGTACAAAGTGTTTCATCGGCAGTGTGTACAACCATGTTGAGGGGGATTTCCGTTCCAACAGTGGGTTTGGCAAAACAGCGGAGCGAATGCTAGAAGCAGAATGGGCCTGTTTTGCCATGGACTTAAACTGCCTCAACTCAAACACTGAGAAAATCCAGAGAGGAAGGCAAATGCGGAAAGGAGATATCTAGGAATTTGGGACTTTGGGCATTGGCTCTGCAGTGGAGAGCACAATCCATGTAATAACTTTCATTTAGACCAGGGGTGGCCAAACTTGCTTAACGTATCAGTCACATGGAATGAACGTCAGATGTCTGAGAGCCGCACACGCAAGACATGAACAAATATCACACACACGTTTTTATTGGGAAATATGCAAATTTGCTTTTCATTAAAATTAAATTGGACTGTGTGAAAGGGCCGCATGCGGCTCCCGAGCTGCACTTTGGCCACCCCTGAGTTAGACCAAGACAAGGGCACATGTTTTTGTGTAGACCACATCATTGGAAATGAAGGCCTGTCCAAACGAAATGGGACAGCGGAGTGCCATGGTTTTTAAGAGCATCTGTGATGGCGGACCCTGACCTAGATAGCCTAGACTAGCCCGATCTTGTCAGATCCTGGAAGCTCAGCAGGATTGGCCCTGGCTAGTATTTGGATGGGAGACCTCCAAGGAATACCAGAGTCACGACGCAGAAGCAGGCAATGGCAAAATACCTCTGAACGTCTCTTGTCTTGAAAACCCCTATGGGGTCCCCACAAGCCAGCTGTGACTTGACGGCAGTGCTCCCTCTAAGCCGTGGAGTCTTGTAAGCAGAAATCCCACTTTGTGAACTACTGGCATTAACACTGCGAGCGAGCGATTTGGCTACTGCGTAAATTAGTTTGCTCTGGAGCCCTCCTTCCTGAGCGAAGACAAAAAGGTGTGAGCCGGAGGCTAAAAAACTTTGAGCCAGCTCACACTAGCTCAGCTTAGAGGGAACACTGCTTGACGGCACTCTCCACTACCGTGATGGAATTGCACGCATAGTTTATGAAACACTGTTATGCACTCTGCACTCGAACCTTAGTGGACTCAGCACCTCTGACATACACAGACAAATGTTAAGTGCCATTGATTATTCTAATCACAGAAACAGAAATCAATCACAAACATATATTCAGATATTCACTTTGGTTCATTGCTTAAATGCATGCTGGGGAAAAGGCTAAATGCTGACAGATAGTTATACTGCTTGTAACCTTGCTTGTTCTGGCCAACTATAACTGTGCATATTCCTGATGTCATTTAGCCTACGTTAGATGAAGAACACACACCACTATGTACCCATATCTGCTACTGTCCCACCGCGGGCTCCTCCACGGCCTTACCGGCCGCTGCGGCAGGACTGGCACTGCCCGCGCCGGACCCTCAGCTGACTCCAGACGTCAAAGGCCCCGGGGTAGCGAGTTTCTGGGACAACAGAAGCGACAGGTCTGGGGGCAATCCCGAGTGCAATAGCTACATTAGATACTTTTAGAACTTCATAGCCTGGGAAGAAGAAGGCCCATTGTTTAACTGAGAAAGTCCAGCCCACAGGTCCGGGCCCAATCAGAAAGATATGATGGACATATGGCAAAGTTTGATGGAACCAATAATTATGATTTATTTCTAAGCGTCATGTGGAGTATAAAATCCTATGTCTCCCATTGTAACCTTAGGGAGAGCTGTGGGTATTCGAGGGTCCAAAACCTTCTTGTACCGGTGCTCCCTCCTTTATTAATAAAGTTTTAGTTCTGATTCTACTCTACAGGATTGTGCCAAGTGTTTTCTCAAATTGGGCTGGGGAAACACGACCGGAAACAGGGTCTCTGTACCACAATGGTGAAGGTTGAATCAGATCAGGATTATCCTGTTGGGTGGGGGGGGTTAATCCTCCCACACCATTTTCCTGATGGAAGTCCCCCTTCCTTCCAAACCGCTCTTTGTCCCAGTTAAAAATATATATTGTAGAGGATTTCCTACATTTGGTTTTCGACACGGGGAAGCAATGACCTCCTCTTGTGACTTTGGAATTTCATCCTGCAGGTCGCGATGATGTCACAGGGGATATCGACCTGGAATCTGACCGTTTCCTTTCAAAAAGAAACTGTCGGAGGGCCGACCGGAAAGATTCCAACTTCAGCTCCAACCTGGTGTGGATCCTTCTTGGTCATTAAACAGAGATGGTATACTTTCAGCAGAAGCTTATAGCTGGATGTGTGTGGGCAGGTAGGGTGACGAGGAGATGTGTGCACAAAGATGCCAAGGAGAAGGTTGCCAACTGATCCATGCTCCTGTGCCTTGCAGAATCATTTGATCTTCAGGCGTGAGCAAGGTAACTGATGTGTTGTGAAATGCTCCGTGGGCTTATTTCTGCAGACGGAGCGATCGTTCTCTCGTCTTTTGGCAACCGTGTGTGGAACCAGGTCAGGGGCTGGGAGGGGGGCTTCGAAAAGCGTGAGCAGCTGCCCAAAGTTGCCAGTCCCTGATTGGTTCTGGTGTTAATGAGAGAGCTGAGCCTGGGTTCTGGGGTGGTGGCTGGGCACTGAGGAACAGGAAAGGGGTCTGTGGATAAAACCAGTGTGGTGTAGGGATTAGAACAGGGGTGTCAAACATGCAGCCCAGGGGGCAGATCAGGCCTGCCATGGAAGCTCACTGGATTACCTTCAGTCAGTCACACATTCTCAGCCTAACCTACCTCAAGGGATTGTTGTAAGGAGAAAATGGAGGAGAATGATGTCGGCCATTTTGGGACCCCATTGGGGAGAGAGGTGGTGTGTGACTGAAGTAATTTTTTAAAAAAAATAACATCTGAGATACATTATCAGGAGAAAGTTGTGGGAGGGGGGTCTGAAGGACAGCATTTGTGAAGATGGGAAGTGAGCACCTTGGAATTGTAGGACAGGGCCAAGTGTTTGGGGGAAAGATCTGAAAGAAATTTCCGTGCACATGAAAACGTTTAGAATAAAAATTCAGAATTTGAGGGACTTTCAGGATTTTCAGGACTTTGAGGGACCTGGCAAGCCTAATGCAATGTGTCTTTTTTCCCACCAGAAAAGCCTTTAAGGCCCGACAATAAGCATAGTTGTGAAAATGTCATTAAAATCTATGTAGGGGGGATAGGGGATAAGCACTTTAAAGTTTTGGAAGCATATCAGTGTCAAGAAAATTTGCTACAGATTGCTCCCCCCTGCCCCACACCGCAATGATTTTAGTTCTAGGAAACATCAAGGTGGAGAAGAACAGGGCTATTTTTGGGCAGGAACGCACAGGAACGGCGTTCCGGCTGGCTCCCGAGTTGGCCACACCCAGCAGGAACTCATTAGCATAATAGTCCACACCCAACAGCAGGAACTCATTAGAATTGGCTACATTAGGGGTGTGTGGCCCTAACATGCAAAGGAGTTCCTGCTACAAAAAAGGCCCTGCGTTTTGACAACAAACAAGGTAAACAGAATAAGAAGCAAAAGGTGGGTGTGGCTGGATGACCACACTTCTTGTAACATGGGGGTGCAACCTAATATGCTAATATGCTGTGCTGGCAAGGGTGTGGCCTAATATGCTAATGAGTGTCTGCTGTTGGGTGTGGCCTATTATGTTAATGAGTTCCTGCTGGGCTTTTTCTACAGGGCTTTTTTTGTAGAAAAAGCCCTGGAGAAGAATATCTCATACCTGCATCCTTACGTTTTCTTCTTCTTTATTCAGTTCGATAGTCCGGAGTGATGCCGCTTCCTGTGCCAACCAAGCCTCCGGCCTGCTTCCCCCGCTGCTTCCTCACCTACTTCCTCTCTTTCCTCCTCCTGACCACCATCTTGGCCTCCTACTCTTTGGGCTTCCAACTGGCGAGGCATCCGCTGAACCTCGCTTCTCTGGGCCTCTACGGTGCCTTCTTAAGCCTCCACTTCCTCGCTCAGGGATGTTTTGCCTACCTGGAACTGCGCAAGCATCAGGGACCTGCCCTGCCCTGCAGCTTCTCCAAAACCGTGGCCCTCACTATTTCTGCCTATCAGGAGGACCCTTCCTACCTGCGCCAGTGCCTCGAATCAGCCCGAGACATGGCCTATCCAAAGCACCTTCTCTCCATGGTGATGGTCGTCGATGGCAACGGCCCTGAAGATCGGTACATGATGGAGATGTTCCAGGAGGTCTTTCGTGGTGAAGACTTGGGTACCTACGTGTGGGAGGGCAACTACCACAGTCACCCAACAGCAGAGGAACTGAAGGAGCCCCAACAGCAGGAAGTGGAGGCGTTGATCAGGAACACGAGATGTGTTTGCATCATGCAGAAGTGGGGTGGGAAGCGGGAGGTGATGTACACAGCCTTCCGAGCTCTGAGGGACTCAGTGGACTATATCCAGGTAGGAGTTTTCCGTTTCCACTTTAGTGTATGTCTATGTGACTCAGTACAGAACCACATCTGAGGGGCTGTGGCTCAACGGCAGAGCCTCTGCTTTGCATGCAGAAGGTCCCAGGTTCAATCCCCGGCATCTCCAGTTTAAAAAAATCAGATAATTGATGATGTGAAGGACCTCTACCTAAGACCAGTGTTCCCTCTAAGCTGAGTTAGTGTGAGCTAGCTCACAGTTTTTTAGCCTCTGGCTCACCCATTTTTGCCTTAGCTCAGGAAGGATGGCTCCAGAGCAAACTAAGTTATGCAGTAATCAAATCACTTGCTCACAACTTTAATGCCAGTAGCTCCGAAAGTAGAATTTTTGCTCACAAGACTCCACAGCTTAGAGGGAACTTTGCCTAAGACCCTGGAGAGCCACTGCTACTTTGAACGGACAATACCGACCATGACAGAGAGGTTAGGTTCCACCTCTCTCCAAGGGCAACCAATGAGAGATGACAGAATGTTGAGAACATCCTTAGGAAAAAGGATAGTGGTGAGCAGCAGACAAGTAGACCGTTTAAGCACTGACAAGAAAAGAGGGTTTTCTGACTGAGGGGAACCTCCCCTCACCACACCCTGCCCTCCTCAGGCCCCACCCACCCAAAATCTCCAGGTATTTTCCAACCCAGAGCTAGCAACCCTAGAGAGATTTAGACAACCATTCAACAGGAAGTGAGATGGACAGGAAGGAGTTAGGCAGGAAATGTGAAAAGTGTCCACAAGCAAAGGTTTATGGTTACGAACTCACGACTTCCATTTCCGCCCAGGTCTGTGACTCGGACACCAGACTGGACTCAATGGCAACTGTGGAATTAGTGAAGGTACTGGAGTCAAACGAGCGCTATGGGGCCGTCGGGGGGGACGTGCGGATCCTCAACGTGTCGGACTCGTTCATCAGCTTCATGAGCAGCCTGCGCTACTGGATGGCTTTCAACATTGAACACGCCTGCCAGTCTTACTTCGACTGCGTCTCCTGCATCAGCGGCCCCCTGGGTGAGTTTGGTTATCAGCTGCATGCAAACTTCGTTTTGGAGGGAAGAGTAGGGGCCTGGAGGCTTGTATGGGACCAGGACTTTGGGCGGTTGCTTCAGAGGCTGCGGACTCAGGAGTGGGAACGTCAGTCAGCAATCTTTGTTAGGCTTGTCGTTTCGTTAGTTCAGGCGTTTTCCATCAGTGGATATTTTGATAAACATCTGGTGATACCAGAACTCCAAGAACTATTCTAGTGAGAGACTGGATGTGTAATATAACAGGTGGTCTGATTTGATCCCTGAGGTGGTTTTTGAGCAGAAATAGGGCAATTTTATGGCATTAAAAGTTCAGGTTTCCCAGTCCAACCCCCTAAACGTGGAATCCAGTCCCAGTGGACTCAGAGACTTGGTGGAAAGTGCCATCGAGTGGCAGCCGACTGTGGCCACCCCAGTGAGGGGCTTTCAAGGCAAGTGAGAAGCAGAGGTGGTCTGCCATGTCCTTCCTCTGCAGAGCCTTCATCGATAGCCAATGCTCCTTCTAAGCTGTGGAGTCTTGTGAGCCAAAATTCTACTTTGTGAGCTACCAGCATTACAGTTGTGAGCCAGCCATTTGGCGACTGCATAAATCAGTTTGCTCTAGAGCCCTCCTTCCTGAGCTAAGGCAAAAACGTGTGAGCCGGAGGCCAGAAAACTGTGAGCTGGCTCACACTAACTCAGCTTAGAGGGAACACTGCTCCCATCCAAGTACCAACCCTGTTGTCAAGTCCCCAGCTAAGTCACTCTCCACACACACTATTGGCAGTGTAATGCTTTATTAGAGATATAATGCTGTAGGTTCCAGATCTTTCGTTAGGACTAAAGAAAACCACGGGAAAATACAGGTTATAGGTAAACGCATAAAGTTCCATTCACACACACACGTCATACCTACCCCTCAACGTTACTATGGCGACATGGACAGATATATGGTGCCCTATCCTAACCTAGGCTGGCAGAAAGTTCTCCATGGTCAATCCCACGGGAACCGACTCTTGGAGCGCACTTCTAGACAGTTACAGCCTCTATTCCCATACACTCCAACAACACTCACCCCCCTTCAGGAATTTAACATGACAGGCGAGGTGAAAGGAAACAGGACTGAAAGGAATCAGAAGTTAGGCCGAGTCTGACACCTGTTTAGCTTCCGAGCTCTGACGAGATTGGGCTATACTATGCTGCTTTCCCTGCCTGCAACTCTGGATTTTCTCAGTGTTCAAGTCAAGGCAATTTAAGTCCAGGGCAAAAGAGCATCCAAATAACCCGGGGTAACAGCAGGTTGAAACCAGGGTGACCACTGAAGGGGGGGTCATGTAATGCGGCATGGAGGGGGAGGGACCCGGAATAAAAAGACTCAATTTTAGTGCAGAATGGGGGGGAACTTACATTCTTTCGGAATACAGAATGATAAACTTGTAACTTGTCAACTGCAAATCATTATTTCATATCTAGCTTTATTGATGCTTTCCCAATTAAAGTTCTCAAAGGTTATTTTTTTCTATCATGGGGAACCATTTTGCATTCATTCGCGTATTTTTTTCTTGAGGGGCCGACACAACATCAAATTAAAGCAAAATAAACACGAATTGCAGCTCTTCAAGTCTGAATTGTATTTCACTCCCCTCCAATCAGCTGTTAGATATAACAGCTATTGGTCCAGGAGTGAAACTGACCAGAAGCATCAGGGCAGCTTTCCTTTCCTTCCCCAGCCTCCCCACTCCTTGACCAATAGCTGTTGGGTCTAACAGCTGATTGGAGGGGAGTGAAATTGACCAAAATGGGCACCTGGCAACCCTAATCCCAAAAGAGAAATTTCTAGCAGGAATCCTATCAGCTATGCAAACATACACAGAAACTGAGAAGATTGCGTTCCTGCTCTCAGATCATGATGCCTGTGTATCTTATAGACTTTCTTTGTTTGCTTTAGCAGCGTCCAAAATTAGACCTAAGGGGTTGGTTACCTGATTAAATCTGGTTTGGCCTTTTTATCAGCACGATTTGTAGTCAATTTTAATCTGATTCTAATGGTGGTAATTTTTATTATTGCTATGGTGTCTTTTGTATTTCATAACGGCCAATGGCTTAATACAGTAAATTTACTTGTACATGGGAGAACTGCTTTCAGTATAAAGAGGTCTGCGTGGGGCGAGTTCATGCAGGCGTGTTCTTATTATTTTTTGGGGCTCATCATCTTTCCAGGCATGTACCGCAACAACCTATTGCAGCAGTTCCTGGAGCCCTGGTACCACCAGACCTTCATGGGTAACAAGTGCACCTTTGGGGACGATCGGCACCTCACCAACCGCGTCCTGAGTCTCGGCTATGCCACCAAGTAAGGGCGCGTGAGAGAAGGGCCCTCTGGGTTCTGTGTTTTCCACAAACGTTAAGCATAGTGCTTAGTGTCCATATAAACATACGGATAAACATATGGATCAGAGGTCCATGAGTGGGTATTAGCCACAAGGTACAGATGGAACACCTTGTCTGGGGCACCGATGCTCTGTATTCTTGGTACTTGGGGGACAACAGTCGGAAGGACACAGAGTGTTGGACTGGATGGGCCATTGGCCTGATCCAACATGGCTTCTCTTGTGTTCTTAAGAGCAGAAATCCATGAGTGTCTATTAGTCACAAGGTATAGATGGAACACTGTGTTTGGGGCAGTGATGCTCTGTATTCTTGGTGTTTGGGGGGCAACAGTGGGAGGGCTTCTGGAGTTCTGACCCTGCTGGTGGACCTCCTGATGACACCTGGGTTTTGGCCACTGTGTGACACAGAGTGTTGGACTGGGTGGGCCATTGGCCTGATCCAACATGGCTTCTCTTATGTTCTTAAGAACAGAAATCCATGAGTGTCTATTAGTCACAAGGTATAGATGGAACACTGTGTTTGGGGCAGTGATGCTCTGTATTCTTGGTGCTTGGGGGGCAACAGTGGGAGGGCTTCTGGAGTTCTGACTCTGCTGTTGGACCTCCTGATGGCACCTGGGTTTTGGCCACTGTGTGACACAGAGTGTTGTACTGGGTGGGCCATTGGCCTGATCCAACATGGCTTCTCTTATGTTCTTAAGAGCAGAAATCCATGAGTGGTTATTAGCCACAAGGTATAGATGGAACCCTTTGTATGGGGCAGGGATGCTCTGTATTCTTGGTGCTTGGGGGGCAACAGTGGGAGGGCTTCTGGAGTTCTGACTCTGCTGGTGGACCTCCTGATGGCACCTGGGTTTTGGCCACTGTGTGACACAGAGTGTTGGACTGGGTGTTGGACTGGGTTGGCCTGATCCAATATGGCTTCTCTAATGTTCTTACATGATAAAGAAAGTAATCTCCAGGGCCATAGAGACAAATTCAGCCAGAGTTCACAGAGAATCCACCAAGCCAGAAACTGGGTGCAGGAATGGTTTTTGTCCGTCTTCAGTGGTCGGGTCACCAGCTCTGGTTTAGGCCATTCCTAGATATTGTGGGGCAGTGCCTGTGGAAGACAGTGTCCGGGGAGAAGAGGGAGCTCAGCAGGGGCGTGATTGCCACAGAGTCTGCCTTCCACAGCTGCCATTTCCTCCTGGGGACTGATTCTCTGTCGGCTGGAGATTGGTTGTAATTATGTGAGAACACCAGCCCCCACCGGGCAACCCTGGCAGCCCCACTTGATGGTAAAAGTCTACAGGGAGCAATCTCAATTGACAGAAAAATTACAGAAATAGCTGTAATGTAACACCTTGGACACATGTGGAGCTGCCTTTACTGAATCAGTCCATCACTCAATCAAGATCAGTAATCAGGGCTCTTTTTCTAGAAAAAGCCCAGCAGGAACTCATTAGCATAATAGGCCACACCCAACAGCAGGGACTCATTAGCTTATTTGGCCACACCACTGATAGCACAGCTCATTGGCATATTAGGCCGCACCCCCATGTTACCAGAAGTGTGGTCATCCAGCCACACCCACCTTTTGCTTCTTATTCTGTTTACCTTGTTTTTGGTCAAAACCCAGGGCCTTTTTTTGGAGCAGGAACTCCTTTGCATGTTAGGCCACACACCCCTAATGTAGCCATTCGTAATGAGTCTCTGCTGTTGGGTGTGGCCTGTTATGCTAATGAGTTCCTGCTGGGCGTGGCCAACTTGGGAGCCAGCCGGAACTCCGTTCCTTCGCGTTCCTGCCCCAAAATAGACCTGAGTATTGCCTACTCTGACCGACAGCAGCTCTCAAGGTAGAGGTCTCCCACGTGGCCTCCTACCTGGTCCTTTTAAACTAGAAAGGACAAGGATTGAACTTGGGACCTTTTGTATGCCAAGGAAGGGCTCTTCCACCAAGCCACAGACCCTCCTGTTGTTAGGGAAGGCTGCCACAAGACACCATGAACCCCCAGACAAGATAGAGCAGTTGAAGTAAAACTCCAGCCCCAGGCTCTTCCTGGCTTCCAGCGTCCCCAGGGCTTCTCTGAGCCTCCGGCGTCCCCGGTCCTGTTCTTCTCACTCCACTGAGACCCAACCCAATCATCACATGACCCATCTGGCTCCCTGGGCCCCACGTTGACGTGTGCGCCTGGGACTTTGCCTGGCCTCTCACCTTGAATGGGCAGACACTGGCCCGTAGCCACAGTGGGGCATTTGGGGGCAGAACCCCCACCCACCCACAAGCCCTGCCCCACCACCTGAGGATGCCAGACACCAGGCCCATAGCCAGGATTGTTTTAATTCAGGGGGCCTTTAAATAAGTCAGGGGGCACCCCGCACAGACACCTCCATACACCCCCCCAAGGGAGCACCACAAATAAAATAAAAAATGGAAGTCGGGGGACACTGGCAGTAAGTCAGGGGGCCAGGCCCCAAGATGCCCCCACTGTAGCTATGGGCCTGCCAGACACCCCCGCCCCCCAGTGTGCCTAGCACAACAGCAGCAGGGAGGCTGGGGAAAGAAAGAGAAGGAGGAGGAGGAGGAGGAGGTCCTGCCCTTCACTACCCAAAGGTGTCTCAGAGCGGCTTCCAAACTCCTTTCCCTTCCCCTCCCCACAACAGACACCCTGTGAGGTAGGTGGGGCTGAGAGAGCTCTGACAGAAACTGCTCTTTTTCAAGGACAGCTGTGCCAGAGTTTTGGCTTGCCCAAGGTCATCCAGCCAGGTGCAAGTGGAGGAGTGGGGAATCGAACCCGGTTCTCCCAGATTAGAGTCCGCGCACTTAACCACTACACCAAACTGGCTACACCAAACAGAGAAGCCACCCTGCAGCTTCTGGTGAGTTTTGCTCCCAGGATCAGCTGTTTAACAACTCAGCCCAGGGGAGTGAAACTGACCAGAAGTTGCAGGGCTGCTTTCCTTGCCCTTCCCCAGCCTCCCTGCTGCTGCAGGGGGTTGGGGATGGAAAGGAAAGCTGCCCTGCCACTTTTGGTCAATTTCACTCCCCTCCAATCAGCTGTTAGACCCAATGGCTATTGGTCAAGGAGTGGGGAGGCTGGGGATGGAAAGGAAAGCTGCCCTGACGCTTCAGGTCAATTTCACTCCTGGACCAATAGTTGTTATGTCTAACAGCCGATTGGAGGGGAGTGAAATACAATTCAGACTTGAAGAGCTGCAATTCGTGTTTATTTTGCTTTAATTTGATGTTGTGTCGGCCCCTCAAGAAAAAAATACGCGAATGAATGCAAAATGGTTCCCCATGATAGAAAAAAATAACCTTTGAGAACTTTAATTGGGAAAGCATCAATAAAGCTAGATATGAAATAATGATTTGCAGTTGACAGGTTATAAGTTTATCATTCTGCATTCTGTATTCCGAAAGAATGTACGTTGTCATATGTTAGAAATTTTATAGTATTCTTTTTTTTTTCTCTAAGTGAAGCAACCTATACTTGTGTGTTATAATGCTGAATTCAGTATGCCTTTTGAAAAAGAATAAAAATTGTTTGGGAAAAAGAAAAAGAAAAAAAATATTCTCCGCAAGCAAAAAATAACCCTGCCTACGGGCCTGGGTGGACATCTGAAAAGAAGCAGCCATCTGCTGCCACCATCTGACCAGGCTTTTAGACCTCCTCCACCAGGCTAACCTCGCGCCCCTCTCCCCTCTCCTTCCCAGGTACGCGCCCCGTTCCGTCTGCCGCTCCGAGACGCCTTCCGTCCTCCTGCGCTGGGTCTCCCAGCAGATGCGCTGGTCCCATTCGTACTTCCGCGAATGGCTCTACATGGTCCGGTGGTGGCCCCAGCACTCCCCCTGGCTGGCCTACGAGGCCATCGTTTTGGGGCTGTTCCCCTTCCTGGTGGCCGGCACGGCACTGCAGCTCCTTTACAGTGGCCGCCTCTGGGGCTCTCTGTGGGTGCTCATCTGCATCCAGGTGGGCAGCCTGGCCAAGGCCTTGTACGCCACCGCCCTCCGCCGCAATCCCATCATGCTCCTGGCTTCCCTCTACTCCGCCCTCTACATGGCCGCTCTGCTGCCCACCAAGCTCTTTGCCCTGCTCACCCTGCCTTGGGCGGAGGGTTGGGGTACCTCCGGCCGGCTCCATATCCGCACTAACTATTTGCCCCTCTTGCCTCTGCTCGCTTGGTGGGGGGCCGTGCTGGGGGGATGGAGCTTCGCCCTCTACAGAGAGGCTGTGGGGGGCTGGGGGGATCTGGAAGCACTGGCCTACGGGTTCTCCGCCTGTCTGGCTCACTGGGGGGTTCTTCTGGGGTTCTACTTGGTGCAGGTGCGTCACGTCTGCCGGCGCCGGCGGGCCACCTACAGGTTAGACCGAGCCTGGAGAGCTTGGGAGGGTGGGGAGCTGGGAGCTCCTGGGAGGTACAGACCAACGGGAGGGACCGGGTTCAAGCTGGAAGCTCTTCAGAGTTGCTGGGTATAAGGAGGGGGCAAGGGCCGAGTGGTTTATTTAAACGGCTTCCAAAGAAGCCTTTTCGAGACAGAAAGGCTCCTGCTTTTCCAAGGTGGACACCCAAAGGACACAAGCGTCTTTGGCCTTCCTTTCTCATTTTCTTGAAACCCCGCAAAGGTTTCCATGGGTGCTTCATGTCCTTTTCCCCTCATGTAAACTCCCTCCTAGGGGGAGGGGT